AGACAAGTTCCTATCAGTCTGTTCTATAACACTTGTGTAGCTTGTCAATAAATTCTTTTTAAGTTTCAGTTAGATATATCAACCAAAATGTTAAACGTAAGAACTAATATTTAATTTTAAGGGAAATAGAAATTTTACCTGAAGCAGAAGACAATAATCAATATTCAGACATTTAAAAGGTTTGTTGAGACATTGATGAAGCTGCTGAGACTTTGGACATTGGGACTGTGTGTAACACCTCTAATTGTTGGAGTATAAAACGTAACCAGCTTGATTGTGTAACAGTGCATGTCAGTGTTGAAGGGTCACTGGGTAATATAGGAGGGGCACCTCACCATTATAGTTGATCAGTTACACAATTGGCCCTATTGTGTTTCTATAAAAACATTGTTATAAACATATGTTCCATGTTATTATGTATTATGTGAATTGTTGGCCTTTATACTAATGACAGAAGTTCTAGTATGGAGGCAGATTGATATCTTAGTTATCAGTATATTGCCATTTTAGGAACTTAATCTTCAAATGGCAATTCATGTGAAATTTGTATCAATGGAAATCATAACACGTTTCATCCCTGTTCTGTCACCTCCTAGGTATTATCCTTGTTCTCTCATCGTCGGGGCATCATTCCTGTCACAATTACATCAACAGTGTGTCATCCTTGTCACCCTTAGTGTATCATCCCTGTCACCGTTAGTGTATTGTGTCAGTCACACTCTCACCCTCAGTGTATCATCCCTGTCACCGTTAGTGTATTGTGTCAGTCACACTCTCATCCTCAGTGTGTCATCCCTGTCACCCTTAGTGTATCATTTCAGTCACACTCTCATTCTCTGTGTGTCATCACTGTCACAATTACATCAACAGTGTGTCATCTTGTCACCTTCATTGTATCATCTACATAACACCCTCACCCTCAATATTTCATCCCTGTCACCCACAGTAGATTACGATTTCACACTCTGTAGATAATCCCAATCACCCCAAAATCATCTTGTTACCCTCAATTCATTATCCATGTTACCCTCAGTTAATCATCCCTGTCACACTCAGTACATCATCTCTGTCTCCCTCAGTACATCATCCCTGTCACCCTCAGTACATCATCCCTGTCTCCCTCAGTACATCATCCCTGTCACCCTCAGTACATCATCCCTGTCACCCTCAGTACATCATCCCTGTAACCCTCAGTACATCATCCCTGTCACCCTCAGTACATCATCCCTGTCACCCTCAGTACATCATCCCTGTAACCCTCAGTACATCATCCCTGTTACCCTCATTATATCATCTCTGTCACCCTCATTATATCATCTCTGTCACCCTCATTATATCATCTCTATCACCCTCATTATATCATTTCTGTCACCCTCATTATATCATCTCTGTCACCCTCATTATATCATCTCTGTCACCCTCATTATATCATTTCTGTCACCCTCATTATATCATCTCTGTCACCCTCATTATATCATCCCTGTCACCCTCATTATATCATCTCTGTCACTCTCATTATATCATCTCTGTCACCCTCATTATATCATCTCTGTCACCCTCATTATATCATCTCTGTCACTCTCATTATATCATCTCTGTCACCCTCATTATATCATCTCTGTCACCCTCATTATATCATCTCTGTTACCCTCATTATATCATCTCTGTCACCCTCATTATATCATCTCTGTCACCCTCATTATATCATCTCTGTTACCCTCATTATATCATCCCAGTCACCCTCATTATATCATCTCTGTCACCCTCATTATATCATCTCTGTCACCCTCATTATATCATCCCTGTCACCCTCATTATATCATCTCTGTCACCCTCATTATATCATCTCTGTCACCCTCATTATATCATCTCTGTCACCCTCATTATATCATCTCTGTCACCCTCATTATATCATCTCTGTCACCCTCATTATATCATCTCTGTCACCCTCATTATATCATCCCTGTCACCCTCATTATATCATCTCTGTCACCCTCATTATATCATCTCTGTCACCATCATTCTATCATCTCTGTTACCCTCATTATATCATCTCTGTCACCCTCATTATATCATCTCTGTCACCCTCATTATATCATCCCTGTCACCCTCATTATATCATCTCTGTCACCCTCATTATATCATCTCTGTCACCCTCATTATATCATCTCTGTCACCGTCATTATATCATCTCTGTTACCCTCATTATATCATCTCTGTCACCCTCATTATATCATCTCTGTTTATCTTGCTTGTCCTGCTATTTCTCACAGTTATAAGAAGATTTTCTATGTGAATGATTTTATGTTTAAGTTTTGTAGTGCACAAATCAACTCCAGTTTTTTTTACCGTGTAAGATTTTACTTGTGTGTGTGTTGCTTACGTGGATTTGTAAAACAACTTAGTATAATATATGACTGTTTAACATGTTTTTGTGCTGAGTATAAAATATCACTGTTTAACATGTTTTTGTGCTGAGTATGAAATATCACTGTTTAACATGTTTTTGTGCTGAGTATAAAATATCACTGTTTAACATGTTTTTGTGCTGAATATAAAATATCACTGTTTAACATGTTTTTGTGCTGAGTATAAAATATCACTGTTTAACATGTTTTTGTGCTGAGTATAAAATATCACTGTTTAACATGTTTTTGTGCTGAGTATAAAATATCACTGTTTAACATGTTTTTGTGCTGAGTATAAAATATCACTGTTTAACATGTTTTTGTGCTGAATATAAAATATCACTGTTTAACATGTTTTTGTGCTGAGTATAAAATATCACTGTTTAACATGTTTTTGTGCTGAGTATAAAATATCACTGTTTAACATGTTTTTGTGCTGAGTATAAAATATCACTGTTTAACATGTTTTTGTGCTGAGTATAAAATATCACTGTTTAACATGTTTTTGTGCTATCTTTTTTTTCTATGTACATGTATATAGTGGATATAAGAACACTGTTTAGTGTATTTGTATGATAAACATTCAGTCTTGATATTGTAGAAGTTGTGTAGGAACAGAACAGGTAGTAGATGCTCAAGTTGATAAATGTGAAAATGATTCAGGTTGCCATGGTATCTACAGCCAACTACTCATATGCTTTTTCTAAAGTGGCACATTATGGGAACAGTTCCCAATCCAATAGATATCATCAAATCAGCTTTTCCATGATCCTTCATCACTTCACGACTCTCTCTCTTTCTATCTCTTTCTCTTCCACTTCTCTCTACCCATCTCCTTTGCCCCCTCCCCACTCTCCCACTCCACCAACCACAAACCACTCTGGTTGAGGTTTGTTGACTTTGTTGTCTTCAAACCACTCTGGGTGATGTTCCTTGACATTGTTGTCCTCGAACCACTCTGGGTGATGTTTGTTGATTTTGTTGTCCACAAACCACTCTGGTTGAGGTTTGTTGACTTTGTTGTCTTCAAACCACTCTGGGTGATGTTCCTTGACATTGTTGTCCTCAAACCACTCTGGTTGAGGTTTGTGGGCTTTGTTGTCCTCAAACCACACTGGGTGATGTTCCTTGACATTGTTGTCCTCAAACCACTCTGGTTGAGGTTTGTGGGCTTTGTTGTCCTCAAACCACACTGGGTGATGTTCCTTGACATTGTTGTCCTCAAACCACTCTGGGTGATGTTTGTGGGCTTTGTTGTCCTCAAACCACACTGGATGATGTTTGTGGGCTTGGTTGTCCTCAAACCACTCTGGGTGATGTTTGTTGATTTTGTTGTCCTCAAACCACTCTGGTTGAGGTTTGTGGGCTTTGTTGTCCTCAAACCACACTGGGTGATGTTCCTTGACATTGTTGTCCTCAAACCACTCTGGTTGAGGTTTGTGGGCTTTGTTGTCCTCAAACCACACTGGGTGATGTTCCTTGACATTGTTGTCCTCAAACCACACTGGGTGATGTTCCTTGACATTGTTGTCCTCAAACCACACTGGGTGATGTTTGTGGGCTTTGTTGTCCTCAAACCACACTGGGTGATGTTTGTGGGCTTTGTTGTCCTCAAACCACACTGGGTGATGTTTGTGGGCTTTGTTGTCCTCAAACCACTCTGGTTGAGGTTTGTGGGCTTTGTTGTCCTCAAACCACACTGGATGATGTTTGTGGGCTTTGTTGTCCTCAAACCACTCTGGTTGAGGTTTGTGGGCTTTGTTGTCCTCAAACCACACTGGGTGATGTTTGTGGGCTTTGTTGTCCTCAAACCACACTGGGTGATGTTTGTGGGCTTTGTTGTCCTCAAACCACACTGGATGATGTTTGTGGGCTTTGTTGTCCTCAAACCACACTGGATGATGTTTGTGGGCTTTGTTGTCCTCAAACCACACTGGATGATGTTTGTGGGCTTTGTTGTCCTCAAACCACTCTGGTTGAGGTTTGTGGGCTTTGTTGTCCTCAAACCACACTGGGTGATGTTTGTGGGCTTTGTTGTCCTCAAACCACACTGGATGATGTTTGTGGGCTTTGTTGTCCTCAAACCACACTGGATGATGTTTGTGGGCTTTGTTGTCCTCAAACCACACTGGATGATGTTTGTGGGCTTTGTTGTCCTCAAACCACACTGGATGATGTTTGTGGGCTTTGTTGTCCTCAAACCACTCTGGTTGAGGTTTGTGGGCTTTGTTGTCCTCAAACCACACTGGGTGATGTTTGTGGGCTTTGTTGTCCTCAAACCACACTGGATGATGTTTGTGGGCTTTGTTGTCCTCAAACCACACTGGATGATGTTTGTGGGCTTTGTTGTCCTCAAACCACACTGGATGATGTTTGTGGGCTTTGTTGTCCTCAAACCACACTGGATGATGTTTGTGGGCTTTGTTGTCCTCAAACCACACTGGATGATGTTTGTGGGCTTTGTTGTCCTCAAACCACTCTGGTTGAGGTTTATTGATGACTTTTACACATTTTGTGTTACACTATATAAGATTATCAACAATATGCGATTTACTTATTTCATGAGAATTTTTTAATTCTTTTTTGTTCCAGAAGTGAGAGAGTAAGATTCCTGTGACTCTGGCCAAAGAATTCTAACAAAACATTGATGGAGACAAAGTGCCTTTAATTCCACGGTATCATCATTCTGATATTTAGATCTGTTTATTAATTTGTTAATGATATTAAAACATGGTTAAGTGGAAAGAGTTGCATTTGTTTGTTGCCATGTAAAATGAGTAGACATTCTCTGAAAGGGGGATTGGTAGTCAGCATTTACGATCAGAGAACAACGAAAGTAGGATTAAAAATAAAAAAAACATTGGAAGTCAGATTTCAAACTGGAAAAAATTTGATTTCTTCACTACAGAAATACTTCCTACAGTGATGTCACTACAACATAACACAATGTGCATTCGATGTCTGCATGTAAGGATAACAGAATGAAATTTGCTATTGCACATATTTGGGCACAATGTGCGGTTCTATCACATAAGTGTTCGATTCTATTGTGGTTCATATAAATTTAGATATGACTTCTGAATAATTATGGGATAAGATTTATTTATTTTATAAATAAGTAAGAGCACAGCTATGTATATTTCCTAATTAAGCCATAAATCTATAGGTTGGACACATGTAGATCTATCAGGTACAGAGGAAATAATTATATACACTCCTAATTAAGAGTGTTTTGTTTAGAATGTGCCACACGTGACCTGTCGTAGTGTGCAGACACGCATCATATATATACAGAATATCATGTACACATTAAATGGACGTCTCTAACTTTGTCTAGGCAATGAATCATCAAAAGTCTTATACCATTAAATCATTAAGGAAATTTCATTCATATTACTTCTGTATTACTCTAATGTTTCTATCATTTTGTAAGAAAAAAGATATCTAGACATAAAATTGAAGTGTTTGTTACGTGAGAGACCTATCCAATACAGATCTGTTACATATATACCTGTATGCAGGTTATTTTTATTGTCCATTACGCACCACAAGGCACTCTCTGAGGTGTGAAACTGTATACTGGAGAGATTAATTAACACAAGGTCCAGTTGGATTTCAATAAATGTCAAATTAAGAATGACCTTTACAATCACCAGTCAACATCCAATATGCCTCTGATCTGTCTTTGATAACTGCAGCGGCTTTCTGTTTGATTTTCACCACATTTAACAACCTGCACAAAATATGCGATCCTATTGCACGATTGTGTGCTTAATACTAAATTGTGTGTGAATGGTTTGCATACAATGAATGCACGATATGCTGAAGATGTATGAATGATGTGCCTACAAATTGTACAAAGACATCACAACGACCACACTTCCTTCAATACTTCTGACAATGACGTCGCTACAACAATACTTCTGACAATGACGTCACTACAACAATACTTCTGACAATAACGTCACTACAACAATCTTTCTGACAATGACGTCACTACAACAATACTTCTGACAATGACGTCATTACAACAATACTTTTGACAATGACGTCACTACAACAATACTTCTGACAATAACGTCACTACAACAATCTTTCTGACAATGACGTCACTACAACAATACTTCTGACAATGACGTCACTACAACAATACTTCTGACAATGATGTCACTACAACAATACTTCTGACAATGACGTCACAACAACAATACTTCTGACAATGACGTCACTACAACAATATTTCTGACAATGACGTCACTACAACAATACTTCTGACAATGATGTCACTACAACAATACTTCTGACAATGACGTCACAACAACAATACTTCTGACAATGACGTCAACACAACAATATTTCTGACAATGACGTCACTACAACAATACTTCTGACAATGACGTCACTACAACAATACGTCTGACAATGATGTCACTACAACAATACTTCGGACAATGACGTCGCTACAACAATATTTCTGACAATGACGTCACTACAACAATACTTCTGACAATGACGTCAACACAACAATATTTCTGACAATGACGTCACTACAACAATATTTCTGACAATGACGTCACTACAACAATATTTCTGATAATGATGTCACAACAACAATACTTCTGACAATGACGTCAACACAATATTTTAGAAAATGATCTGAAGTCAACTCTACACTCAAGAGTGACGTCACGACAGCAATATATTGGAGAGTAACGTCACTGCAACAATCATTCTAAGAATGACGACGTCACTACTGCAATCATTTATTGCTGACTACTCAATGCTTTCTTAATCAGTACTTACACATTTAATAAGTCCCGCCAACAATAATGGTTACATCGCCACGGAGGACATTTAATAAGTCCCGCCAACAATAATGGTTATATCGCCACGGACACATTGAAACAATCTTTAATGTGTTCTGATGGTTTATTACTAGTGACAGTTTCGCCGACAAAATGTTACTTCTGACGCAGAATACGACATATCTCTTCAGTACGCTCTACAGTGTATATATATTGTTTAATACCGTTTTCACGATCAGGAAAGTTGATCTGAATGATCAATATAAAAAGGCCAAACCTGACCTCATCAAGTTAATATCGTTACATCGCCCACCAGAGCTGGCAAGAAATAGATGAAATTCCTAACGCGTTTTAACGATACTTTACCTGGAGCGGTCACCTTGAGGTATATCTGTACAAACAAGGTACAAGTATTGCGACTGGTCGTGTGAGCTATGGGTGTTGTAAAAATGAGAAATAGTACCTATATGGCACGTGAACCATACCTGTGTGTTACGGAGGGAGTGTATGTATGGCACGTGAGGTAAATAAAATGTATGTGAAGTGAGGAGGTTGTGTGTCAGATTAGGAAATGTGTATGTTCGTCTCTTGAGTTGGAATGTCAGTCAAGTGTATGTATGTCACCAGAAGTAGAATGTCTTTTTGTCACCAATCAGAGGTACCAGAGCGAGAGATTATTTATGTCACCATGTAGAGGTACTGTGTCACACTGTAATACCAGAGAAAGAGAGTATTTATGTCACCATGTAGAGGTACTGTGTCACACTGTAATACCAGAGCGAGAGAGTATTTATGTCACCATGTAGAGGTACTGTGTCACACTGCAATACCAGAGAAAGAGAGTATTTATGTCACCATGTAGAGGTACTGTGTCACACTGTAATACCAGAGAGAGAGAGTATTTATGTCACCATGTAGAGGTACTGTGTCACACTGTAATACCAGAGAAAGAGAGTATTTATGTCACCATGTAGAGGTACTGTGTCACACTGTAATACCAGAGACAGAGAGTATTTATGTCACCATGTAGAGGTACTGTGTCACACTGTAATACCAGAGAAAGAGAGTATTTATGTCACCATGTAGAGGTACTGTGTCACACTGTAATACCAGAGACAGAGAGTATTTATGTCACCATGTAGAGGTACTGTGTCACACTGTAATACCAGAGACAGAGAGTATTTATGTCACCATGTAGAGGTACTGTGTCACACTGTAATACCAGAGAAAGAGAGTATTTATGTCACCATGTAGAGGTACTGTGTCACACTGTAATACCAGAGACAGAGAGTATTTATGTCACCATGTAGAGGTACTGTGTCACACTGTAATACCAGAGACAGAGAGTATTTATGTCACCATGTAGAGGTACTGTGTCACACTGTAATACCAGAGCGAGAGAGTATTTATGTCACCATGTAGAGGTACTGTGTCACACTGTAATACCAGAGCGAGAGAGTATTTATGTCACCATGTAGAGGTACTGTGTCACACTGTAATACCAGAGAAAGAGAGTATTTATGTCACCATGTAGAGGTACTGTGTCACACTGTAATACCAGAGAGAGAGAGTATTTATGTCACCATGTAGAGGTACTGTGTCACACTGTAATACCAGAGCGAGAGAGTATTTATGTCACCATGTAGAGGTACTGTGTCACACTGTAATACCAGAGCGAGAGAGTATTTATGTCACCATGTAGAGGTACTGTGTCACACTGTAATACCAGAGCGAGAGAGTATTTATGTCACCATGTAGAGGTACTGTGTCACACTGTAATACCAGAGAAAGAGAGTATTTATGTCACCATGTAGAGGTACTGTGTCACACTGTAATACCAGAGAGAGAGAGTATTTATGTCACCATGTAGAGGTACTGTGTCACACTGTAATACCAGAGCGAGAGAGTATTTATGTCACCATGTAGAGGTACTGTGTCACACTGTAATACCAGAGCGAGAGAGTATTTATGTCACCATGTAGAGGTACTGTTTCACACTGTAATACCAGAGCGAGAGAGTATTTATGTCACCATGTAGAGGTACTGTGTCACACTGTAATACCAGAGCGAGAAAGTATTTATGTCACCATGTAGAGGTACTGTGTCACACTGTAATACCAGAGCGAGAGAGTATTTATGTCACCATGTAGAGGTACTGTGTCACACTGTAATACCAGAGCGAGAGGGTATTTATGTCACCATGTAGAGGTACTGTGTCACACTGTAATACCAGAGCGAGAGGGTATTTATGTCACCATGTAGAGGTACTGTGTCACACTGTAATACCAGAGCGAGAGGGTATTTATGTCACCATGTAGAGGTGATTGTAAATAACATTATTTACATTGTCTGTGAGTCACGTGAGATACAGTGACTGCATGTAACATTACTTTCGGTGTCTGTGAGTCACGTGAGACACAATGTTTATGACACACTGTGTAAGTGATATAAATGCAGGAACTTTACGTCTTGCAAATGATCACCAGGGATATATGTCCAGTTTTGTGCTGGAAATGTGTATCCTGGTATGATTAACCGAGGAGGTGTGTCCCGACAGTTACTGATGTTTCACGTGAAGTAATTTGGATATGTGTTCCAAAATGTACAGGGGTGTGTTTTGCGTGATATGACGGGGACGTGTGTCTGAAATATGCCAGAGATGTGTATCACGTGATATACCGAGAACGCATGTCCTTAATGTACCCGGATGCGTGTTCCGCGTTGTGCTGGGTGTGTGTGGCCTGTGATAAACCGTTGTTGTGTGTCTCGTGATGTATATATATAAATTATCGCAAACACAACTACATACACATTTATATATAACTTTTTCTTTATTTCACAACAATTGCGAAACAAGTTTTAAGCTTAATTTCAATCACTCGTATCAGCATGGAAGTGCGGGGGTGGGGGTGGGGGTCTTACTGTGGGA